ACACACACACACATTTTGGCTAACCCATCATTATCATACACATTGGGCAGAGTTGACCTATTTACCATGTACATAAAGTATATTTACATTGTCTTTTGAGAGGAGAGGCGATGACAGATAAAGACACACCCACTTTTTTCCCCCTCAAGGGTCCAATTATTTCCCAGTCATCAAGGGCAACAGCGGCCTGTGATGGTAACCGCCCTGACGACTACAGTAGAGACTCTCACACACACGAGCAACAACTGACTGGCAGCGTTCCATCACGATTACAATTATATCTTCGACGAAAAAAAACGGTTATTTTGGCGAAGGAGAACAAATGGGAACCAAAACAGATGACGACGAGAGGAGGAGGAAACAGGAAAGAGAGGAGGAATGGGAAGCGAAGAAGGAGTGGGAGATGCCAGACAATGAGCGCCTTAAAGAAAACCCCCCAAAAAATACAGGAAGTGCGGAGCAAAGAAGGAGGGAGGAGAGGAGGAAGAAAGGAGAGGTGGAAGGTGACGAGATCACAGTGTGGCTGACTGGAAAGATAAGGAGCTGCAGGGAGAGGTGTGGCTGCCTGACGGCAATGGGAAACGAGAACATCACAGTCGGTGTGTTCACGTGTCGCTTACGACACATGTTGCGTTACAGGTCCTGTGTTTTCTCCAAGCGGCTTTAGGAAAGGGAGGAAACGGAGCTTGGAGAGACTACACTTGTGGCCATTTAATTAATAGAGAGGACAGCAGAGAGTAGACTGGAGACAAAGAAGCCAATTAGAAATTAATCCTGAAATTCTGTCACGTTGAGAGATTGTGTGAATAAGAGCATACAGGGCAGGGAGATAGTTATTGTTTGTGGACTCAAATCCAAAATAGTGTTTTCTACAAAAATTCAATTCACTTACTTGCAAAAGAAATGATGTGCTCAAACTACCCCATTTCACTGAATGCTTGGTAATACTCGTAGTTCATAGATACTCCCTGGATTGAATCATACTTTTTGGTATCTCAAACAAAACCCAGTCCCAGTCTTGGGACTGCCCCTGAACTTTCAAAATGCTCACAACAGGAACAGAGAGGGATCCGGTGGAAGCCTCTGAACACCACGTACATATAAAGTTAAAGGGGAAGCGCCGCAGCAGACGGCGAAACTTGTGAAACGCGTGGTGCTGCTTTCTCACCCGTATTCGTGTGGTATCCTGATGACTGACGATTTCACCTCGTGGCCGCCGTGGAGGTCGTGGGCGAGCTCAGAGCGGGGCTCCGTTTTGATTTGCTTGTGCAGGTTGTGGGCGTCGCCGCAGTGAGCTGGGTGGATACAAATTGCTGGTCAGTATGGCACAGTCGTGATGTATTCACATTAACATGCTGTTAGTATTTCATACATCAAGTTAAATTCAATTCTGCACGGTCACAGGTCAGAATTTTTTTGTTCTTTTTACTTTTTTTGTCTCTTAGAAATAAAATTATAAAATGAATGAATACAAAATTAAAATATATTTATCCATGGTAACAGGACAATTAGTTTTGCTGTTATGCCTCTAGAGGAGGACATTACATTATTAACATGTATCGGTCAGTTTTGTGTGTATCAAATACAGGAGATTCAGAGAGGGTGACCTCTGTGACTGGCAGTGACCCCCGTCTGACCACAGAAAACGGAACACCTCTGAGAAACAAGAATTTGCTGAAACTGCTATTCTAAAAACAGAGGAAATGAAAAGCACTTCCCCATTTTCAGAAAATAATATGTTCATTTAAGGAGGAAGGTTTTTTTCTCATGAAAACTGGAAAAAAAACAATACTTTGTCTGATAAGCCAGCACTTGTACAGTGATGTCTAATTGTTATGCTTCTCAAAGTGTCTTATTATTTTTAAGTAGTTGTTCTGATACGGCCGCTTTTTGTAAATTACTGACTATTGTTTGTTTTATTTGGCATTTTCTAAAACACTTGCACAACACATATAGTGTGCAATGTTAGTTAATGTCATATCAACAGAATTGATTATTTTATTGCAATACATATTACTAATTAATTGCAATAAAAGTGTAGAAAAAAAATAATTATAATTGAAACAAATAGAAATAAAAAATGATGTGAATAAAATAATAAATGAGGCTTCACCTGTCTTGTGCTCCCTGCTCCGATGATGGCCGTCGTCACTGGGGATGGGTGGGCTCACCATTATCGACTGGTGCAAGTGGAGAGGCGAGGGGTAGAGGACAGACAGGGGCACCATGACCGGAGACATCATGACCCCCGACCCAGAGCCGAGCATGGGGCCCACCATGGCGGAGTAGGGGAGTGAGGGCGTGGGTGGCAGGAGAGCGTGCGAGGGCGAGCAGCGCAGCTGGGCGTGCGGGGTGGAGCAGCGGGGGGAGGCGCGGCTCGCCGCGCTGTAGGGGGAGGGCGGGGAGCTGCGCGAGGAGGCCGGGGAGGAGGAGGCGGAGGAGCAGGGCGGGGAGGAGGACGAGGATGTGGAGGAGGAGCGCTTGCTGACCGACAGGTCCACGGGCTCCAGCTGGGTGTGCGTGGCGTTGCTGGGCGTGTGGGGCTGGGCGAAGGCGGGCATGTGCGTGGGGTGGTAGATGTGGGAGGGGTGGGAGAAGATCACTCCGTATGGCTCCGTGGTTTTCATTAACGAAGAGTAGAATGACTGTGAGAGAGAGAGAGAGAGACAGAGAGAGAGAGAGAGAGAGAGAGAGAGAGAGAGAGGATGCAGAAGAAGGAAGCGGTGAAGGGGGACAAAAGAGCAGTTTAAAATTTCCGTTCTGCACTGAAGAACACGGAAAACATGTTTCTGCCGCACAAACATATACGGCCAGCCAGAAAGTCGAAACCCAGCTCTGTTTGCAGATACCTGTTATGTCTCAGAGTACAATGTGTGTGTGTGTGTGTGTGTGTGTGTGTGTGT